GTCCACTCGGTCCACCCGCACACAGGCAGCCTGCAGAAGGGCCAGCTGACCTGCCATGCCCCCTCCCTCCGGCCCTGTTGATACCGCGGGAGGCCTGGCCTCGTTCCTGGGAGAAGCTCCTGCGCCCTCTTGGTTGCACCTGTGCAGGCTCCTCACCTGGAGGTGCCCTGGGCCCCTCGGGTGCGCTGCCTCTGTGACCAGTGACCCGTGACAGTCCTTCTCTCACTGGCGGTCAGGCTGGTCTGTGTTTTCAACATTATAGGCTCTCTTCCTTCCAGCCACGTTTCACTCTCAAGCGCCAAGTTAGCTGTGGCTCCCGGGCCTTCCTGCACCAGAGGCGCAGACCTGCTCACCCCAGCAGCGGGGCCTGGCTCAGCAGGAGGCTCCCCGCAGCCGCCTGGAGCTGCGGGCCAGGCCTCTTCCCCAGCACGACCCTCTGGTCCCCGTCCCTCACGTCGGCCCAAGAGGCCAAGGAAGTGACTCACTCCGTGTTCCCTCCGTGACTGCTGTGCAGCCTCCCCTTCCAACGGCCCGCAGTGACCACGGGGCGGGGCTGGGGTCCCCTGGGTGTGATGGAGACACCCGAGAGACCCTGGGCTTCCAGTAGCGATGCCGCTGTGGGTCCTGCCTTCTCCGCTGGGTGGTGACTGTGGTCCCGGAAGCAAGGATGGGCCAGGATGCAAGCCCTGGATGAGTGTCGGGCTTGAGATGGTAAGACTACAAGATCACACCCACAGGGGTGGCTAGAGCAGGGGGAAGGGAGTGCCGCTGGGGCCGAAGAAGTCCCCACCGCTTGTGGGGAAGGTACACCTACATGCAGGTGCGACGAGCAAACACTGTCGTTCCCTCTGCGTGACGGGCCAGGCGGGTAGGAGAGAAGGAGAGGAAGAGGTGGGTTTAGTGATGAGCAAAATGCATCAGTGGCTGTCTTCTGGGTGTGAGTGACACGCGGCGCGGAGTGCACAGTGAGCTGGACCCCCTGCTGATGGAGCTCCTCTGGCCTGGGGCCGGGCCGTCCTGGGGCCACAGCTCAGCGATGTCAGGAGAGAGCCTTACGTGGCTGCCCGCCCGGGGGGCTCTCCGTGAGGCCCCAGATCTTCACCCCAGGGGACAATGAGGGCTGATCTTCCCCCCAGATGAAGAGTTTACAGGAAACCCCTGGCCGCCCAGCACTGCTCCCTGGGGCTCTGTGTCCTGCTCGGCCTCCCACCTGCGCAGGAGCCCTGCAGAGAGGACGGCCGTGGCTTCATTTCCTGCAGTCCTAAACAACACCGATCAGGGGATGTAAAGCCGGCGCCGCCTGTGCTGGGAAAGCTCTCTTTCCATTGAATTTTCTTTTCAGCGGGAGCAGTTAGGAGGAGCCTGCACGCCATCGCCATCGGCCACAGAGGACTCATCCGAGGCCTGGGAGGGGGCGCTGACTCCAAGGTCGCCTGGGAAATGGCAGCCGCGATCGGCTGCGTGTGACGGGCAGGGCGCACCCAGGGACACAGCGGTCCCAGACCTGATTTCAAGCTCATCACATCTTCCTCTTTAAAAAAGTAATTTTAGAATTATGGCTGTATATTAAGTAAAATGAATTAAATCAAATTATGATTTAACGTTGCAAACAATATAGCTTTCTTATTAATTTTTAATACAAATATATTAAGCTTATCCGGGATCTCATATGCTCTCCACTGGGAGCCTGAGGGGCCCAATAAATGACTTCCTCAAGCCTGATTTAAATAGGGATGCAAAGTCAGAGGGAGGAAATACATGCGCAATGAGACTCTCTGGAGTCAGATCACAAGAGGGAAAGATACAAGCATGTTTTCTCATTCTGCCTGTCTCAGGATGAGAGTGCGATGAGG